TTTGTTATGGTGACTGTTACAATGAAGACATATATAAAATAATAGCACATTTCTACTCTTAAGTCGTTGAATAAACCCAAACATTTGTAGCGTTAAACATTTTATGGTGTTTTTTTCTTCTCTTCCACCCTCCCCGTACCCATCCCAACCCTTATGTCGGATGTTGCGGGGATGTAAATCTGTTTTTTTTTTTTTTTTTTTTGTCCTGTGTTCTATGCATTAAATATTAAACACTATACATCTATACTCAATACAAGTTATACCCCCTCTTTTAACATTGCAAAGATAATATTAGTTGTATCACATAGTGGCATATAATTCAGTTTAATGTCTTGTTTAGTATCAGTGTTTTGTCTTGAAGACTTGACTTTACGAGTGGTAACATCAGGTGTGGTTGATTCACCTTGATGGTTACGCAGTGTGTTAAAATGACAATATTTGTTAATAATAGATCTGATTAAAAACTCTATCTTGAGATCGGTGTATGAAACAATAATATTTCAAAATTTTGGCGTATTAATAATGTTTAAAACAAGTTTCGCCGATAACGCTCAAGCAGATGTATAAATATCCCGTCACCTGCTTGCGATATAAAATACAAAAGCTAGTGTCTTTATTTCGCGTACGTTGCACTTGGAAAAGAGATGGTCTAGCTCGCTGTAAAAGACGAATCATCTCCCCTGCTAATGACATCGCAAGGAAGAAACGAGTAGACGATATCTCGCTACTAAAACGTACCAAAAACACTTTAAAAAAAAAATTAAAAATAAAATAAAATTACTCAACGTGAAGTTAAAAATAAATTGTCTTCTTCGAGAGAAGGGTATTTTGTGGAAGTATTTTTCCGACACAGTCTGGTTGATTCATTGTCTTTGCGCAGATACCCATACAATGGGTATTGTGGTCACGGTACACAATGGAAGGTAGCCGCGTGCTTTCGTAGCACTTTAAAAAAAAATGCGTAGAGTGAATGACGGCGTATGTTTTGTTAGCTTGTAAAGATTACACCAGAGGGACGTTAGTAAATATTTTTTAGGGTTTTCTCCCTTTAATTAATTTCAACAGAGTACTATAAAAGCTTGTCTTGTGTAACATTACCCTATTTGATGTCTTTAAATGACGCACGACTCGCTCCGCTGAAACGAATCGTCTCCCCTGCTAATGATGTCACAAGGAAGAAACAAGTAGAAGATGTATCGCTACTAAAACCTAACAAATACACATTTAAAATTGTGTTTGCTATCATGGAACACACGGGTGGGAGGGTAGGTCACTACCCTTTCTCCTCCTCATTTTGTTTACAACACGGATACAAAGAGAAAAAAAAAATATCGCACCACCCTGATTGAGACATAAAATACAAAAAAAAAAGCGACTTTCTTTATTTCACCTGTTTCACAGCTTGCTCCGCGGAAAAGCTACCTCGCTTATTATCTAACCGCCCATGTGCGTTGGGGTATAGCTATTGCCCTATGCTCAGATACCCATACAATGGGTATTGTGCTCACGGCACACAATAAAAGGCGGTCTCGTGCCTTCGTTGCACTTAAAAAATGCTAGAGTGAATGACGCGGGTATGTTTTGCAAGCTTGTAAATATTATACCATAGTATTTTATCGGCTTAGAGAAAATAAAATTAATAAAATTAAACAAGAGTTGTTGTGATTTGATTTTAGTTTCATGTGTGTGTGTGTGTGTGTGTGTGTGTGTGTGTGTATATATATATGTGTATATGTGAGTCTCAAAAAAAAAAGTGTAAAATGTCAACGCCAGGACAACAAGTCATAATCAAAATGGACTAATTCAATACATATCTATGAAAAGTAAAAAAAAAAATTATAACTTATTACAAGTATAAGTGCACAACCATTTTGATAAAAGCTTTTAAGCAAACCTTTCAGTAAATTTAATTGTAGGTACAGCTTTTCTTCTAAACGACATCAGTTGGATTAATATATGCTAGACCCAATTTATTTCTCACTGATTTGAGCTAAAATTTTGATCATAGGAAAATGGTCTTATTTTAAGAGGTTTCAGTGGGGTAGTGATGACTTTAAAAAAAATAATAACAGTGTATATAAATATAATATATACCATGGTGGTCATTATCTCACAAATCATAGGGCCGAGTATTAATAAGACAATTGGAAAAAAAAAACAATTATAATCATAACAATCAAAATATTTTTCTAAGATTAACGCTGGTGTAACACATATATTACTTATTAAACCAAACTGCTATTGATCATTTTAATTAGCTATTTAGTCTGACAATTATTTTTAATTAAGACAAAACTTTTATGTTAATAAAATAAACCTAGTTCTGAACCTACGTAAAACAATGTAGACACTTAAACAAAGAAGTTTACAAAACTTGAGATTTGAAACATAATCGACTTTTTGTTTACAAAATCAAAGACATAACCAAGGGTATTTAGTGTAATTTCTATGTTAAACCATTGACATCCTAAATTACTTTTTAAATTGTTAATGATAATTGATTAATATACTCTTTGATGTCTGACCCTGGTCACTATTTTAGAAAGAAATCGCTGTTTTAAAAACACTAGGAAAACTTAAAACGTCGAGAGACGCGCGCAAAGCACGCGACATGTATTTTTAAATGTAAACAAACGCGCACGGACACTGTTCCATTGTCGCTATGAAATACTTCTGAACCTACATAAAACAATGTAAATACTTAAACAAAGACGTTTACAAAACTTGAGATTTGAAACTTAACGGACTTTTCGTTTACAAAGACATCACCAAGGGTGTTTAGTGTCATTTCTATGTTAAACCATTGGGATCCTAAATTTACGGGACGCTACTCGTGGTTGTTAACAAGACTGTTCTAGAAAAATTCGACTCTGCCTTCGTTTCTATATTAGTTTTATTTAGTAAAAAATCAAATCAATAGGAACTTATATAGTCATGAATGAAGGGGGCAGCGTGGTAGAACTTACGACTGCTAACCCAAAAGTCCCGAGTTCGAATCCAGGTTCAAAGACAGTAGACTGTTCCCGAGTCTACCCAACTCTGATGGGTACCTAACTTACGTTAGGGAAAGTAAGGCGGTTGGACATAGTGATGAACACACTATCACTTCATATGCCAAGATCACAGAAAGAAAAAAAAAAAATTATTTGTTAATCTTCTATATTAATATTTTTTTTTTAGAAAATTATAAAAATATAAACAAAATGTATTTAAATATATATAAGTGGTCGTCAAAATGATGGCTATAGAACCTTTAATTTAAAAGGTGGTTAAAAAATAAATAAAAAAACAATGAAAACAATGAAAACGTTGTGATTACAACATATGTAAATATTAAAAAACAACAAAGCAAACAGCCACAACAAATAAAGCAATCACACTTAACATAATTAACACGACTCGGACTAGACAAAGAACAGACTAATAGTAAATAGTAACGGCTATTTATAGATCAACTGTATGAGAAATAAGGAATATAGTCAAGCCTTGCTAAATAAAATAATTATTTTTTAAAATTTTTTAAAGATAATTGATTAATATACTCTTTGATATCTAGCCCTGGTCACTATTTTAGAAAGAGATCGTCACTAGGAAAACAAAGTCGTGATTACACCATAGCCTCAACTATGTACATAAACGTACAATAAACCAACACCCTAGCACTTAATATAATACTTCTAATATACTATGTGCAATTTAGTGTAAACTAAAGCAAAAATTGTATGTAAATATTAAAAACCAACAAAGCAAACAGCCACAACAAATAAAGCAATCACACTTAACATAATTAACACGACTAAACAAAGAACAGAGGAAAAAATACAGACTGGTAGTAACTAGTAACGGCTATTTATAGATCAACTGTATGAGAAATATGGCCTATTGTAAAGCAAGCCTAGCTGAATAAATTATTTTTAATGACTATTTAAACATAACTTTAAAAAAAAAAATCGATACTCTATTGTTTGTCGTCGCGGCCGTAAAGGAGCGTCACGGAAGACAATAGGAGGAGGGGAACACCTGCTCCTGCTGGAGTATTTTACTATATAACATGTCTGCTCTGGCTGCTCAATATTTTACTATATAAACATGTCTGCACAAAAACGACCCAAAGGGGACCTACTATACTACTCCCCAGGAATAACCTATCTTTTTTTTTCTCCACCTGTTCCCAGTTAGGGAAAACTTTTCAATAATAAAAAAATTACCGGTCGAAACTTTCTAAAATATGTGACTTGGGTATGAAGCTGACAGAGGTTTGCGTGTAGAATCGGATTGGACTAATTTATTATCTATATTTTAAATGACTGGATAGTGGGTCGGCGTGGTCGAGTCGGTAAAAGCTCATGGTTGCTAAACCGAAAAGTCTCGAGTTCGTTAGCTCGGGACAGCCACTCTTCTAGGAGAGACAACTCCAAAATTAAACAACTGCTGCCTTGCAGTTTGTTCTTGGTTGGACAAAGGCTATGGAAGCAAATCCAAAAAGAAAAGCAGGCTGAAATCGGAGTCAATGGCCTCAATGGCGCAATACCAGTTGACACGTAATCCTTAATTGTGTTGGAAGCATGGTCGAGTCGGCAAAGCTCATGGTTGATAAATTCGAAAAAAGTCTCGAGTTCACACCCTCTGGCAGATAAGGCTCGAACCCTCCCAACACTAAAAATTAAGAAAGAAGAAGAAGAAGAAGAAAAAAAAAGACTGGCTTTAAGTTAAATAGATCTCTACTAGATTATATTACTTATTTTATGTCTATATGAAGGCCAAAAGTACAATACAACAGTTAAAACAACAAAGTGCTTGTTTCACTTTTGACCCTAATGAGATGAACAGCTGTGTTGTTTTGATGTTCTCTAACGATGTTTGTTCAAATATCTCACAGAAATCTGCCATCATATGTAAATGATTTACCGCAAGGCCCAACCATGATATCTATAAATGGCAAAGGACAGGAGCCCAAATATTGTTGCATACAAACCTGACAACAACCACAAGACTACAGCCACAAGTTTTACAAACCACAAGATTACAAGAGACGCTCGCCATGAAGTTGTTGACGTTTCTAGCCTTGGTAGTCACGGACATTCTTCTCTGTCAAGGTAAACACAAACACAGCTCTGGTGTCTTGAGTTGGTTGTTGATGTTTTGTTGTCAACTAAACACAGCTCTAGTCTATTGAGTTGATTGTTGATGTTTTGTTGTCAACAAAACACACATGCATCTCTAATCTCTTGAGCTGATTTTGATGTTTTGTATTGACTTTCTGAATGAAATTTCGTGTTTTTCTGTATCAAATGTACATAAACAAGTTGACGAAAATCCTTACACTATTATTATTGCCACAATAATTGTTTTACGCAAATTTTTTTTATTACTTTCAAATTTGCTTTTTTTGCATAAATGGTTTATTTTAAAATTCAGTGTTATAGCAGTTTATAGGCAGAGAACGTGAAAAGAATTTTGCCGATGAAGGCAACATTTTTATTTATTAACAATAATTATAACCTGAAGTCTCACTTTCGTGAGACAAGCTTTAATTGGCAGTACAGGAACCCCGTGATCCATCTTATGTAAACCCCACTTTTTTAAAAGCTTTTACTTTGTTTACAAGTTTTGTGGCTTGTGACAAATCTTGGAACTCGATTTTTTAATCCTTATCTAAAGCAGCGATTTCGTTCAAACTTTTTAGATACCTTCTTCTTCGAAGACAATGTAATTTAATCTAATTAAACTGACAATTAGTCTTTAATTTTTATTTTAAAAATGTCTAAAAGTAGTAACAAATCTCAAGCAATCACTCGATCAGCCAAATGTCAAGGTTGAACTTTCACGCTTGGATGATTCCTCGCCTGAGGGTTGTCCACGAACTAGGTAGGGGCAGGTAACTCTCTTGTGGAGATCATAAGCTACTGGTCGGGTTTTTACGGAAATGTTACACAAAATACTAAAATATCAAATAGACCTACACTATTTTTAAAATATTCATCAAGCCTTTCGAAAACTTTCCAGAATATTATTTTTTTTTTAACTTATTTATATCGTTAGATGTACAATTATACTGTCCATTTGTGTCTTTTACTAGCGTTGGGCGAGGATTACGAGGAGGCAGCATGTCTAGATTGTCAACAATTGCTGCTCAAACAAAATAAAATCATCAACCAGCTGTCAGTTAAGATTCAACGTTTAGAGGTACATTTTTTTATAAAATAATTTGTTTTTTCAAGGAACATAATTATGATATACATAATACAAGAGACGTAACAATAACTAACAAGACATAATGTAACAGTTTTAGAAAGAAAAAAAAAACACACCCTACCATTTCCTTTTAAATATTAGCACTTGAAAATTTATCTAATTAGGATTTAAACGGGAATTTATGACTAAAACAACGCAAATTCATGCTTTCCTTTTCAATATAAGGAAAAAGAATGTGACATCTAGACCGTCGGTCATCATAATAAAACCGAGCTATTTGCTTTCAGACAAGGTCAGCTACAGGAGAGGAATGGATATTAGCCTTTCGTGGCACAGCTTACATAGGAAAATCTGTTTACGCCGCCTATAAGGACGGTATTGGGATTCCAAGTGAGGTGGAACCCGGATGTAAACAGGTGAGTTGTCCCGACATTTCTCGCTAACATTAAGAAAATAATTGCATGCAATAATTACAAAATCGCAAAAAAAACCTACTTTACAATAATATTTCTAAACACTACAAAAGTCACTTAAATATTTAATGAATATTCAAAATGTAACTATACAATGTAGGACTTTATGATGAAGCTAAAGTACAAAAGCTAAAAAAAGTGTTTTGTTTTCATGTCCAATTATTCCCCTCACTTCGTTAATAATTAAAGGGCCATAAATTCAATCTAATATATAAAGCTCAGTTCTGTAACGTGTGGCAAAAAAGTTTGTCGTTGACAGTTCTATGGATTTAAGTGTTAGATTTTTTATCGTGCGCACAGTCTAAATTTACGAGTCAAAAAATTACCATTGAAAGTCTTTAAAAACAATTTTCATTCTATTTACTTAGAAGAATAATTTTCAATTATGAACGCGACATAAAATTTTTAAAAAGTGTATCGACGTTTATAAAATTTCTAAAATTGTGTCGGAAATGTATTGACTGCACAGTTACTTCCCTTTAATAAAAAAAAAATTCTTAAGAAGAAAGAATTTACATTTTATTACTTTGTTTTTGGTGTTAAGAAAAAAAAAATAATTACATAATTAGCGGGGATTGATTAAGTGCAATGTCGTTAGGTATTTTTAACACTGCCTTTTATTTATTCTATACACTGAACATACTGTTTAATATTTTTTTTTTTAAATCAATAACATTTAATAAGCCAGGTCCTACAAATCCTAGATCTATATGTTTATTTCTTTCCATTTACGGATAAGCTTGGAGTATTATCATTTTTGTTCACTAAATTGAAACAGGCGCGTCCGCCGGCGCCCTTGCACGGTTCGATTTGGCACCCTGGGCTATCATGTGAGCGCTATGCTGCATAGTTTTGTTTTTAACAGTGCGATAGACTATGGGTAAGAAAGGTTACTATAGTCTTTAAGTGAATCAAATTCGGGCGTCCTCCGGCACCCCGACAGGGTGCTATTTGGCGCCCCGGGCCTTCCGGTGTACGCTATGGTATATACGTTCGCGTGAGTTCAAAAGACTATGAATAAGTTATGTACTATAGTCGTTTACTAAGTTCAATCAGGCGGTGACGTCATGGTGCGTCCTCTGGCGCCCAGACAGGGTGCTATTTGGGGTCCCGGGCCTCCCGTGTTCGGTTTCGCGCCTACGTTTATTAAAGTGAGTGCAAAAGACTATGAATAAGTTGGGGTACTATAGTCGTTTATTAAGCTGAAACAGGCGATTCCGCCCCGGGCTAGACTCTGAGCACTGTGCGTTTATGTTCGCGTTAGTGTTTTCTTTGTGTTTAGGTTGGGTTTGCGTTAGTGGTTGCGTTTTGATTTTGTCCGTTTTTGTTCTTTCTTTTTTCGTTTTCGTTTGTGTTTTATTTTCTTTGCGTTTGTGTTTGTATTTGTGTTTGTGGTTGGTTTTGCATTTGGATTTGGTTTGTTTTCGTTTGCTTTTTCGTTTGTTTTTTTCTTTGTGTTCGTATTGGTGTTTGTGGTTGTGGTTGGGTTAGTTGTTAGGTTTTTGTTTTCGTTTGTATTTGTAATTGTGTTAGCGTTATGTTTGCGTTTTGTTGTTTTGGTTTTGGTTTGGGTGTGCAATGCCGGGTTTATGATGATTACTAAACACACAGGTAATGGTCTTTAACAGAAAGGTTTTTCACAGAAGCCAGAGCAGGGCCTGGCCGGGACGGCTAGTAATTTATAAAGAAGAAAAAGATTTACCGATACAAAATATAAATGTATCAATTGTTCGTGTGCAGGTCACCAAACCATTACCTTGCAACAACCACTACAGAAACCTGAACGTTTTCGACAACTGGGACAAAGTTAACGAAGTCGCCTTCGTTGTGTACTCAAACTACACCAAGGTCAAGGAGATTTTGTTTGACGGCACAAGTACAAACTACATGACCTGGTTCGACAAATCCAAGGTCAAGTTCTCTACATGGAAGCAAATCAAGACGGACATCACAAACGTTTTTTCTATTGTAGGTCACATCAGTCCTGACCTCATGCGGACGTTCTTCGTCAACAACGTTTATGGTGGATGTCCAGCAGACAAGGGCTGGTTCGTGGCTGTGGACAGGGCAGACGGCGCATGTGCCTGGGAGAAGGCGAGCAGGTTTCCGGTCTTCAAGTACTCACGACAGAGTAGTCCTGAGAACTGGACCACAGGTGACGTGGCCAATGCCGACATGTTCGCCATCTTTGTTAAATTCTACGACACACCCTGACCTGGTTGATTTACCTACCTGGGGTTGGACAGTTTTAAAATAAAACACTCATACATTTACAAGTTTTCCTTGTTAAACTCACTGTTGCGCTTTGTATTGTGATGAAGATGATTAAGACAGAAAAGAGTATATTAAAAGTCGCAAGCAGAAAAATTGACACACATAGACAAAAAAGCGGGAGTAATCTCCCCTAAACCTTCTCGAAAATTCCAATATAACATTACGTGGGATGGCAACTCGGGATATACACATGCTGTTTAATCAATTTTTAATTACTTAAAACTTTTTAAAATAGAAGAGAATCTATTAAAAAAAAAATAAAAAGAATTGCGCACCAAGTTAACAACAAACACTGCGTGTATAATAGTGCGAAATAATTAGTACTTTATAAATTCATATGCTTTTTTGAGAAATAATAGTATAAAGTACTACTTTCGGTCACCGGAAATTACTCAAAATTTGACAGAAAACAGAATTAGATCTTCTACTTATATGTGAAATTTCGTCTATCGGAAACAGAACTCAAGTTATAGGCTTTCGAAAAATTGAAAGTAAAATAAGTTCTACTTCCGGTTCCACGAAATAGCTGAAAAGTTGACATATAATTACAAATGTGATGTAAAATGAATATATGAAATTTCATCAATCTAGCTCTAATTTTACTCAAGTTAACGTATTCACAGACAAACAGACACACACGCAGAGACTTGAAGACAAGATTGCAAAATTAAGTGTTTCCGACTCAGGGAGTTTTGAAACGTCGATTTTTTGCACGATTACAATATTTCCGCTATAACCCGTATTCGAGAAAGTAAAATGGTTAAAAAATATTTCTTTGTGCACAGAGGGAAATGCGAAATCGGGGAAAATACACGAATAGAAATGCACCCAACGAAAATGCACACGTAGAAACGTGCACAGCTAAAAAAAATGAACATATTAAAAAATGTGCACACAAAAAATACTCATAAAGAAAATATACGCACAAAAAATGAATACGCAGACAACTCGCACTTTATGACCATGTGTAACAAGAAGGAGCGGGGTGGGGGGGGGGGGCTAACAGACTTCGGGCAAGTGTCCATTTGGGGGGGGGGGAGTTTGGGTCAATGTGGACGTCCACTTGTTGAATTTAACATCAAAATACTTACTTCTAAAAAAATGCATATAAAATGTTTGAATTAAATCGTCGGTTATCGTATTAAAAAAACACCATATCTACTGTGAATACTACCCGCCTAAAAAAAAAAAAACAAGCTAGCGAACTCACACAATTGACTTGATCACCCGCACAACTTCTTCATCTACAAACTACTAGTTACATAAGGATTACCGGAGATTTGATACTGTTTTTAAGTTCTTTACAAAGAAACATACATTATCTAGCAAAACAATCTGAATATGCATACCAAATAAGTATCTGATTATCTGATACAGACTATAGAATGTGAATAGGATCAAGTTCTTTACGACATACTCAGGCAACCTGCGGGTACTAGAACTATCGAACTTATCTTGATATGGGGGGCTCGGGCATGTGGGTTGTTCAACAATGGTAGTCCGTGATGTTTAAATACCGTGGGCTTATTTGCCTAATGTGGCTCAGCTGGTTGAGTAGATAAATCTCACGCTAAAACCACTATGGGTTAATACAGACCATTCTTCAACCAGAGGAGTCGTAAGGTGCTTAAGGTGCGTAAGGTGCGTAAGGTGCATTCAACTTGGGCGATACATCCAGCCTTCAGATTTGAGTCCCGTAGTATAGCTTGACCGCACCTCTCTAGCTTCCAGAGTTTCTTCCAGGCATCTCTTCGGGGGGGGGGACGGGGGGACGAAGCCCCCCCGAAATTTTTTTACCGCCCCCCCCCCCCCCCGAACGAAATGAAATTTATATAATTTATATAGAAAATATATACTTTTAACAGTGTCCGCCCCCCCCCCCCGAAGAAAGTTTACCGCCCCCCCCCCCCCGAAGATTTCAAGTGCCCCCCCCCGGAGAAAAAAATCTGGAAGAAACACTGCTAGCTTCCACCATTGCAAGCCGTAACTTAGCTTGACCGCACCTCTCTGCTTCCACCATTGCGGGCCGTAAATTAGCTTGACCGCACCTCTCTAGCTTCCACCATTGCGGGCCGTAAATTAGCTTGAACGCTAAAATGAGCATTGTGGGCCGTAAATTAGCTTGACCGCACCTCTCTAGCTTCCACCATTGTGGGCCGTAAATTAGCTTGACCGCACCTCTCTAGCTTCCAACATTGTGGGCCGTAAATTAGCTTGACCACACCCTCTAGCCTACAGCATTGTGGGAAGTAAATTAGCTTGACCGCACCTCTCTAGCTTCCACCATTGTGGGCCGTAAATTAGCTTGACCACACCCTCTAGCCTACAGCATTGCGGGCCGTAAATTAGCTTGACCGCACCCTCTAGCCTACAGCATTGTGGGCCGTAAATTAGCTTGACCGCACCCTCTAGCCTACAGCATTGCGGGCCGTAAATTAGCTTGACCGCACCCTCTAGCCTACAGCATTGTGGGCCGTAAATTAGCTTGACCGCACCCTCTAGCCTACAGCATTGCGGGCCGTAAATTAGCTTGACCGCACCCTCTAGCCTACAGCATTGTGGGCCGTAAATTAGCTTGACCGCACCCTCTAGCCTACAGCATTGTGGGCCGTAAATTAGCTTGACCGCACCCTCTAGCCTACAGCATTGTGGGCCGTAAATTAGCTTGACCGCACCCTCTAGCCTACAGCATTGTGGGCCGTAAATTAGCTTGACCGCACCCTCTAGCCTACAGCATTGTGGGCCGTAAATTAGCTTGATCGCACCCTCTAGCCTACAGCATTGCGGGCCGTAAATTAGCTTGACCGCACCCTCTAGCCTACAGCATTGTGGGACGTAAATTAGCTCGTACATACACCTAGTCTTCAGCATTGTAGGCAGTAGTTCAGCGTGAAATATTTATAGCCAAAGAGCTTGTAAATCATTTAAGTAAAACATCTAATTCTGTGCCTTTTATCAAATTTTGAGAAACTTCCGTTGGTTTTTTAAAGAAATCATAAATAGTATTAAGTAATACCCTCACTAACTATAGGTCGCTCAAAATCCGTCAGAATCAAGAGATTTAAATCTTATACGTGTTTACGAAATTTCATCCACCTAACTGAAACGGTACTAAAGTTATTGGTATTTAAGAACCAAGAAGTAGAACGAAGTATCTCTTTCGGTTTGTGGTAGTCGCTCAAAAATTGAAAGTACTCCAATTACAAGATCTAGCAGTATAGTGAAAAAGCACTTCCGTTTACCGGGAATCGCTCAAAAGTTTAAAGAAAACAACAAATTTGGTACAATACTTACGTATGAAATTTCGTCAACATAACTAAAAAGGTACTAAAGTTATTGTGTTCAATACAGACAGCTATAGAGACAAAATTGTCTAATTTAGTTTTTCAACACAGATAGGTGTAAAACGTGGAGATCGGTCAAAATCTTGATGTCGATTTTTTCGCACGATTAAAACACTTCCGCTGTACATCGTATAGACAAAAGTAAAAATGGCTGTTAAGAAATCCAGTGTTTTTGACAACACGCCCCCTCCCCCCACGCATCCCTCCCTACCTCCCTACAGATGCGCCAATGATGTTCAATCACTCAACTAGATAAAAATTAACAAATGCTTTTCTGCAACAATTACTTATAAAAGTAAGCACTAGTCCCCCTTACATTAATAGGCACAAGTCGAACTACAACCACAAGACTACAACCAAAAGTTTTACAAACCACAAGACTACAAGAGAAGCTCGCCATGAAGTTGTTGACGTTTTTAGCCCTAGTAGTGACGGACATTCTTCTCTGTCAAGGTAAACACAAACACAGCTCTAGTCTCTTAAGTTGATTGTTGATGTTTTATTTATTTCTTGTCAACTAAATATAATTACCTTTTCAAACTTTGGATGGGTCGGACAAAATTTGCCGGGTGTCCGGTAAAAAGAAACCCTGGACATAAACCCCATGAACAAACCCCCCTCCCCCAACGGTGGTTTTTATAAGGAAAACCAAAGATGATGTGGAACAAAAATAATAATTAAAAACAAAACAAACAATAAAAATAAACAGTGTATTATTATAATTCAGTGCTGATTAACCTCCAATAAAATTAAGGTTGTCCTTAGTTCCAAACAAAAACATCCTACGTTTGGACTCGGCACCAGAATCGAACGGAAGAAATTGTTGTCCATGTTTTGTCATTTTATTTTAATCATTAATAATTATGTTAGCAACATTCCTTGGATCAGACAGGAGTGTTGGTGTGTTGCTTCCGTTTCTTCTGCCAGTTGTTTCATATTGTTCACTACTTTACACACTTCTAGTTGAGATGGATCTGGTCTATGTGAATGTTCATTACAACGTCAAACAAGCTGTTCACCTTGAATCTTGAACTTTGCTTTGCATTTTGTCGTGCTCCGTCTTTTCGCACACTCAAATGACACAACGTCGTTCACCAAATCTTTTTGCTTGGCACAAACATAGCCTCAAAAAATCACATTTAAATTGCCTTTATTAGATTGAACGGATTCCTTTCCAGAAATTATGACAAGATTGGTGAAGAAATAAATTTGATGTCATATTTAGTTCATCAAGATGGATGTGAACCAAGCTTCCGTCGGTGAATCTCTCACATCTTTTGTATTGTTCAAAATGTGTTGCTTTGATCCGCACGGCTCCCACCGTGGATGATTTATGTAGATGTGCTTCGGGAGGGTGGGGAGGAGGTGCCTGAAAGAAACACTGGTGGGATCTAAATCTAAGTGCCAGTCACCGTCCTCATACACTCCAACTAGTCAATGTTTACTCAAAGGCAAAGCTATTTATTTTATTGTGCATAATTCTTGAGCCTAAAAAAGTAAATGGGAATTATGTATTGGTAAAGACTTTAAGAAAACGTTTTTTTGAGTACTTTGAGTTATTAAACTAGTCTTGGGAGATATTATGTTCGTGAAACAACATTTATCTAGTTATAATAATATTTTGGAATAGACGTTTTCAAAGATGCAAAGACACATTTTACTGTTTAAAAGACCTTTTTCTTTTTGCAACTGTTACCTAATGTCATTATTGATCGTATTGCCCAGCTCGGTAAAAATCATTTTTGTGTACATCACGATGTTATATAATTTCTCTTGACAGGAAAAGTGGACAACGCATGTGGATGTGAAAGTGACCTGCTCGTGAGTCTGAACGTAAGTTACTGTCATTGTTAGCTATGTTTAGTGATGTTACATACAACCCACCAATCCAACCCTTGTCTCAAGTTTTTATGTTTTGACGGCCGTACAAATAAAATAAATGTAGTACACTGTAAATATAATGAGATCCCAAGGTTGTTTACATCAGTTTTGTGTCTTTGTAAAGACATTTTTTCAGGTAAACACTCAGTCTAAATTTTACAACTGTTAACTACATCATCTACAGAAATGTATTTACATGATGTAACTTTGACAGAAACCGTCTTTATAACTTTATTTAAACCTTAAAATACAACTATAAAGTAAAAGATTTTTAACAGTAAACCGCAAATCAGTAAAAGTTACTGGCTAAAACAAAGCTCGACTCATTCCATGACTGATGCAGTAGTGATTTGTTTAAGAACAACAAATAGCAGGATACTTTATCTGATCATCAAGGTTAGAGAGCGGCGTAATAGTTTGCAAAATTTGACATTTAAGTGAACACGTAACCTACCAAAAAGTAATTTAACTATTTAAACATTTAACAGACCCGATTCATGTAGAATAAGAACAACCTCAACCACCCCCACTGAAACTGATTTAAAGATGTCTATTGTAAATACATGATTATTAGTTTTGGTGTTTTTTTTTCGGATTTTGAAACTTTTAGGCAAATTCAATCTCGAAATCATGGAGGCTCGCCTTTCGTGGGACGGCTAACATTGGAATTCCCGTCCTCCCTGCTTATATGAACGGTACTGGCATTCTAGAGAACGTTGACCCCCACTGTAAAATGGTAGGTAGTGAAATATCACAAATGTAATTTTAAGTAAACGCCCAATATATGGGAAAGGCGTGGTCGGGTTGGTTGATCTTATGGTTGCTCTAACAAAAAGTCCCTAATTCGAACACCCTGGGGAGATGAGCCCTATAGTTGGGACAGCAAGCCAACCAGGAAAGAACCTCGGATTGACAAAAGCTATTGAAGAAAATCCAGAAACAAAAATGAATCTGAAATCTGAGACAAAGGTATATATGGATGCATAATATGTTGACATGCAATACTTGATTTGGTTGGAGGAAATACCGTTCAACATACCATCTTCTTAGAAAGAAGAAGTCCGAAAATACTAATCTAATCATGATATTTAATTTTCATGTTAAGGTAAAAAAAACAACATAAAACTGCACAATAAGGATTATTAATTATGGTTTCATCATTCTACTTAAAATGTTAAAGAAATATTTTATTAACACTTCAATATAGTTCATCCATGTATATACTGTAAGTTTGATCTAAAATACAATATATTTGATTACATATAATCCTAGCTTAACAGTATATTTAAAACATTTTATTACCGTAATTCATACTAAAATGTAACAAAAAAGAGTCAAAGGCAAATGAAAATCAACAGATAATTGAAGGAGAAAAAATATACATTAAAAACGTTTATATTTAAAACGTCAGTTTTATTCTTTTTCAAGACGAGGTTACAGTAGCTGTTTAGATCTCTGGTAGAGTTTTAATTGTATAGTTTTAAATATTTTCTTTTCAGGTGAAGAAACCTTGGAACTGTGCCAGCCACTACAGGAACAATGAAGTGTTTGACAACTGGAATACTGTTAGTGAGGTCGCTTTCGTCGTCTACTCAAACTACACCGTCGTCAAAGAAATTTTGTTCGACGCCGTGGGTTCAACTTACATGAACTGGTTCGACAAGTCCAGGGTCAAGTTTTCATCCTGGGACAGCCTCAACACAGCTACTACTAATTTCTTTTCCATCAAAGGAGAGACTCAGTTTAATGATACGGTATCGAGAACATTTTATATCAACAGAAACTACGGCGGTTGTCCAGCAGACGCGGGCTGGTTTGTGGTCATTGACAGGGCCAACGGAAAATGCGGTTGGGAGAAATTTACCACATTTCCGGTCTTCAAATACGCCGACAGCTATAACGAGGAGAATTGGACCAATGGGAAAGTTGCTTATGCTGACGTCATGGCCGTCTATGTTAACTGCTAGACCCAGTGAGGTGCTTCCATTGATATCAAGAACCTGACCAACCCTTTGGGCATTGGACTGCATGAGTTCTATAGTTTATAACAATAAATGTTATTTCTCACTTTATACCTTGTTGAATGTCATTGTTTTAACAAAAATTTAATATTGAAATATTTACCTGATATTGTTCTTAGAGTATTATAGATAGGGAAAATTCCGCGTCTTGTTTTTAATTGTCGAAAAGCATTGAAGAAAGAGTATACCTAAACTAACAAAAGTAATAAGTTGGGGAGGCGACTATAAACTTACAGCGCAACATGTGGGGAGCGAAACTATCGCAAGATCGAAGGACATATATTTGAAGGCTACGTTAACTTATCACTCGACCCACTTATCCAATATGCGAAAACCACTTAAAAATCTAACACACCTTAACTATGTAAACATGGTGGGGTTTTATTAATAAAGTCCTTTCATTAAGTCTTAAATGATCATCCACTATTAGCAATATAGATATTCCTCTTGCGTCCCTACCCCATTCAATTAAATGTTTGACAACGTGGCACATATAGAAATGTGCGCATCAACAAATACAGTCATACATACGTTTTTGTTGTTCTGATTTTTATAGATATTTTTGAATATTCAGACATAACTTAAGTCTCTAGTTAAATGGTTGAAACACATGATCCAAGCAGGATCCAAACAGGCTAAACTAATTTTTTAAGTCACAGATGCTATTACGAAATGTAAAAAAGTAATTAATTTGTTACCTGTAAGCTCGCGAACTACATACACATTGAGTTATAGAAGCCATAACTCTATGGTTTATCTAGTGGGGTAAAAAAAATTCTAAAGCCACATATTCCATCAGGTAACATTACTTCCTAGTAGATAAGCCCCGTTCTATTTAGTTTTACTGCTTTATGTCAGGCACTTGAGCGGTGTGAGTTCATTAGCGATGTGTCAACAAGTCTATCTATAAAAGTCCGATGCTTAATGTTGTTTTTTGCTCCTGTTCAGAGGCTAGACAATAGTGGAAACTTGGAGGTGCCGGAAGAGAAGACAAAATGGGGAAAGTGCAGTATTTTATATGCATTTTCTTGGCTCTCTGTGTGCATCCGTCTAAAGGTATGTATGTGTATGTCTAGTGAGACGTCTGTGCTGGTGACTTTTGGCACGCCAGAACTTCAAGTGGCGTCTATAAAACAGACTCCTTCGCGTTGTACCACTCAACCATACAGTTATTAATATCGCCTTGCTGTTATTCCATACAATTTCTTTCTCTTGACCGATTATAACGGGTTTTTTTTTAATTTTGTCAATGTTTTGTTGACTCGATAGTTGCGGTGTTTGGAGGTCCCAGTACTTGTAGGGTCGATTTGAGATGTTTTTTCTCACATTTCAGCACTAGAATTTACATACAGCAAACAGACGGCAACAGATAAAAATAACAACGTCTGCGGCCATATCCGCTGTGTCCAGACCGTCAATGACGACATTATGTCCATATGGAAGCTCCAGATCTTCGACATCGCGTTGAACGGGTCAGTGCTGGCTACGGTTACAGCAATAAGGAAAGCTGTCCAAACGTCAGGAGAGTTTGTCCTGGTGTCTCGGACATTCAACAAGCAGCAGGCAGCGCTGACCCTGGGGCTGACCAGGGACGCCGACTGCATACGAGGGTCGTTCATGTGTGAGGTGGGGTACATCGATCACGTGGGCAACAGGCAGACAGATGTCGCAATCGTGAGAGCCAGTTCTGCAGCGTCCTCTGGTGGGGGCTGTGGGCATGAGGTGTCCTCGGGTGTTGAGGTGTTACAGAGAAGTCTCTCGAGGATGTTGACAACAAAGCTGGAAGAAATCAACAACACAATGGGGCAATACGTCAAGGTTATTATTCATGTTTATCTGTGTTTATGTGATAAATATATTCAGAGATACGTATTTCGTGTTAAATTAATTGGAAAATTCTCATGTAAATAAAATGTATGCATATTTTTTCAAAAATTAAATTAGTTTTAATGGGCACCGCGATCGCGTTTTTGCATTAGATTTTTTAGCTTTTTTTTTAACTTGCTTTCTCTGTCGTCAGTCGTCAGTCTGTCTGTCTTTCTTGATCGAAACGTTTTTTAGGAATTTTTATTATTATTTAACTTAACTTGCTTCCTCTGTCTGTCGTCGTCTAGATCGAAACGCCCGAGCAAAAGTTCGGGCACGTCTAACTGATAGATTCGGTTCAAAGTTGACACGTGGGTCGAGAAATATGGACAATGCAATCTGTTATAAAATGTGACTTAATTGAATGCCTAATTAATTTTTTAATGAATTAATTAATTAAGATTTTGTCATGTTCATTAAGTACGCAATGGATTTTAGTCATGCAGTTCTATTTAAATTTCATTAAAATAACATTTAAATAACAAGCTTTTATGTAATAATGCCCTAAAAAGTAGAAAATAAATAATTTTCTTTAAAACATATAATAACTAGCCGTCCCAGCCAGGCCCTGCACTGGCTTGAATGCAATCTAACTAACTTTTATATGTTTTTTTCATGTTTTATTTTAAAGAGGTTGTTTTATACCCCGTAAAGAACTATAAAATTGTCTAGAATTCCGATTAAAATTGTGCGGTCTCTCCCGTCATTTAGTCCGTACAGAACGAATGTCTGAACTACAGATTAAATTGTGTCCCGTCATTTAGTCCGTACAGAACGAGTGTTTGAATCCCGACAAAAACATGAAGAGAGATTGGAGGCTGGTGTTCCCTGGGACAGCTGGGATTGGCAAGTCTGTGTACCTGGCCTACAAGGACGGTGTAGGGATTCCCGCTGAGGTGGAGGAGGGATGTAAGCAGGTCGGTTTACTCTCATTGTTCGCTGCCATTGTTCGCCGTCATTGTTCGTTGACTTTGTTCGGTGTCACTATTAGCTGTTACTGTTCGCTGTTACTATTCGCTGTCATTGTGCGCTGTCATTGTCTGCTGTCATTGTTTGATGTCATTGTTTGATGGCCAGCTGTAGTTGTCACAAGGTCACCAAGATCTTTCCTGTTTTACTATACTATTTTCATTGTTGCCTTTTCTACAGAGTCGTAAAACAACTTGAATCCTAAAGATGGGTCAAATATATACAGTAAACATACAGTCAATGATTCGTTTTTTGCTGTGACATTTATTGTATTCTAAATTTCTTGTCGAAAAGGTTATAAAATATTTTATAAAAATGTGTTTAGTTAGAAAACATAAAAAATGTGTATTTGATTGTATCTTTTCTATCGGTGTAGGTAGCAGCACCATTGCCTTGCACAAACCACTACAGAAACAACGCCGTCATGGACAACTGGTCCGGGATTTCTGAGGTCGCTTTCGCAGTTTATAAAAACAATGTCAAGGTCAAGCAAGTTATCTTTGATGGCAGAGGGACTAACTACATGAGCTGGTTTGATAGAGCAAGAATACAAGACTCTTCCTGGATAGATTTGAGGATCACTGGCGCCAACGTGTTCAGTATTGTTGGTGCTGAAAACGGTCCCCATAGGAGAAGAATGTACATGAATCATGTATACAACGCATGTCATGGAGATTGGGGATGGTTCGCTGCCATCGACAACACACATGGCGGCTGTCCTTGGGAAAATAATCTGGCATTTCCGGTGTTCAAGTATTCGACCTTAGACCGTGTGACCAACTGGAACAGCAATGTAGATACGGCTGACTTCATCGCCATCTTCGTCCGTTACTTCAGCGTACCCTGATCAAGTTCATAGTCCAAAATATTTAAAATTAAATAACAAAAGTTCTTTTTTGTAAAAACTCATCAAAGGTTTAGTAAATAAATACGGGACGGAAATTTTTATTTTCATTTGCGCTTTCGGTCCAAATGTGTCTTTTTATTAAAAAATCAGTAGAGAACGTAAATAAAACTTACAGTAATTCATTAAGTGTTTTTCTTGTATGTTAGTAATATTTTATATTTTATAAAACTAATAACTGCCTTACATACTGAATTGTAGATTTAATAAACCCAGAGTGATCTCCCCTAAACTTTCTCGAATATTCTTATATGACTTGGAATATAAACATAATTTTTAATTACTTCAACTTTTAAAAATAGAATAGAATCTCATAGAAAAAAGAATTGCACACCAAGCGAACGCCCAAAACTAAATGTGCATAATAGTGCGCAATATTATTAGTACTTTATACAATTACATGCGTTTTTTGATAAATCGGAAATAGCGTAAATTAGTACTTCCGGTCAACGGAAATTACTCAAAATTTGACAGAAGGTAGAGAATTAGATTTCATTTATCTATCTGAAATATTACTCAAGTTATAAGCTTTTGAAAAATTCAAAGTAAAAAAAGTACCACTTCCGTTTATTGGAAATCGCTCAAAAGTTTATCAGTATCTACGATTTTGATAAAATACTTATATATGAAATTTCATCAACCTAGCTCTAACAGTACTCAAGTTATCGTGTTTACACACAGACAGACACAGACACACAGACAGACACACAGACATACGGACATGATTGCAAAATTATGTTTTTCCATATCAGTGAGGTGTAAAACGTCGAGATTGGTAAAAATCTCGATTTTTTTTTTGCATGATTACAAGACTTTCTCTATACTTCGTATATACGAGAAAGTAAAAAAAAACATTATTAAATTTTATATTTAAACACAACCCGCAATAACTCGTTATATCCATCGGCAAGCTGTATTAACGCATTCAGTGAACGTTTATCACCTACCACAATTGTAGAGTAGAAAACGCCTTAGCGACCAACAATTTACCAGGGGCGTTGCGTGGCGATGACACGAGCGATCGGTTACACTACCGCAAGGGAACCGGGTGCGTCAGCTTGTTCGGTTTAGTCATATTATGCGGTGGCCCACTTTGTACCTATTGTAGTGTGGTCATTAAAACTAATTTACTTGCCCTTAAGTTAAAATCGGAGCCCGGGACTCTCCAGGTCACCTGTACGACAGGTCGACGACGGTGTCTTCTGGTACGATCCAGGCAATGTTTATAGTAGCTCTCAGTATCCAAAG